ACTACTATATATATATATATATATATATATATATATATATATATATATATATATACTTGTGAAAAAATCCCAAGACAGTTTTTTACAACCGAGCAGATGATACATCCTTTTTGCTTATTCTTTACGACTGAATCACAAACAACGACATCTTCGCATATCCGCCACCACAACAAACTACGATATTCTTGCTATTCGCTAAATACATTTCCCGTAACATATTCCCAACTCGACGACCTGTCAACTAACCGACATCAATTATTATCCAAGGCAACGACAAGGAATTTGTTAGTTGATCATATGTTTTTTTTGTACAACTCATCACTGCTTACCAATTCATCGTGTAATATACATATATACTTCACACCCCTCTTTTTGTTAACTAGTAATATTATGCAAGAACAATATTACATCCCGAATAAATTTATACGCCGAGAAACGAGTTCGACAGAGAAACAGTTTCCCAACAGCAAAATCAAAAGATGGTTGCTCTTTTTACCAGGTTTACAACCAGAGCAGTGCATATGGAAATGGTTAAGAACTTAACCGACAAAAACTTTATTTGCCAAAAACTCTATGCAAGTACCAGGAAGATTTCTAGCTCTGCGTGGATACCTAAATTGGTTTTGAGCGACAACGCTAGCCAATTTTAATTGGTTTTCAAGACCATTATATAAAGGAATTCGGATTTCTTAGCGAGAAAAAGGGTGATATGGAAGAATACAGTGGCTAAAGGTACATGTGGAGGAGGCATTTATGAAAGAATGATTGGCCTCACAAAAAAAGCTTTAAGAAGAATCATGGACAGAAAATTCTTGTAGGTAAGAGAGTTAATTATCCTAATAATGGAAATAGAGGGTATTCTCAAAACTCTAATTCACATCAACTTTGACGACTATCAAGTAATACAGCCAATAGATTTCATTTCGCCAAATGCTCACCTACAAATATCATCCGATGATGATGATAATCAAGAATATACACCATACAAAATTAATACCAGGGATAAGCTCGTTAAGAACCTTGGATGACGTGTTCTGAGACGTTTGGAGAAATGAATGGTTAGCCTAAGAGAACGTACCCGTTACGAAAGATATGGAAAGGCGAGTTCTTCGCAGCAACGAAGTTGTGCTGCTAAATGAATCTGAAATTCCATGGAATAAGTGGAAATTAGCAAAGATAAGGAATATTAAAAGAGGAAAAGATGGAGAAGTACGAAATAAGAAATATAAGAGATATGCCGGGCGGGAAATTATTTGATAGACCGATCAATACCCTTTCTCCTTTAGAAATAACTGAAGGAAATTCAAAAACTTCATCAACAACAAAGAACCTGAACAATCAGAAGAGCCAATCGCCGCACGAATCAAAAAATTCACAAAAGGACGAATTCATCAAGTGACAGGCAAATCTAATCTAAAGGGAGCATAATTACATTAACCATAATTACAATGCTAATATAGCAAACATCAAGGACAAAAATCTGCAAATAGTTGCCTGGTATTCCCTTTAATATACCAGAGAAGTGGAACTGCGAAAACAATACGAATAAAATTTCATATCAGTGAAAGTAGCAGTCTACACTTGAACCCATGTACAAATACCTGTAGTGAAATACAGTGATATCAGTGAAATACAGAAATACAGCTCAGTACACCTTTTTAAGATTACTGTTACCGAAGTTTCTGATCAGACCATTGTTTCTGCAACAAGCTCGCATCTTTGCAGAGCACTTGATGATCAAAGATTAGGTGTAATTAACTTTAAATAAATCTCTCCTAATAAATAGAGCACCAATAACAAAATATTAGTATGGGTCCTAGATCGAATTCTAAACTCGTTGTCATTCGACAAAAAATTTCCTTTTGCAAAAACGAGAAATATATACGATAGAAAGGGACTAGTCTCAGATCTCGCTAATGCAGAATTACTGTGAAATACAGAACGAGAAATGCGTAACTAACACCAATATTGTGCTATGGGACAAAAAGGAAGTGACAGCCAAATGCTTATATTGAGAAATAGGTATCTTTGATGTAAAACTGTATGAAAACCATGTTATCATATATGAACTCCAAACTTTATTTGTCTTCAAAGGAAATAGAACTACCACGACGACGAATTACAAGTTTGTGAATCCTCATCTGATGAATGGTGATATTGTTATCGATAAAGGATTCCTTAATAACTCTATTAGATTGGGAAACGGAACAAAAATAAACACGAACAGTTATTATTGACGATGGAAACAAACCCAGATCCAAAGGAAGAAATCGATTTTGAAAATGTAAAATTTTAATAGATTTTCGGCAGTTTGCGAAGTGAACTTGAACAACAAGTAAACGAAATATCCCGACAGAGCTATCAAAATCATAACAATCTGTAACTACTAATCGAATGGTTATCATACAGTAATCCAACCTTGGCAACCAGGTTGTTATTACAAAGAAATGGTGTGATAGCAAACATGTTCATGAACAGCTACTGATCGCCCCGTGCAGAATTCATACGGAAATTATTGAATTTAAAGGCGGGATATTAAGCAAATTCGAAATTGAAAGAATCAATGCAGAGCTGGAAATATTTTCAAAATGGCAGAATGACAGCATCCAAGAATCAAACAGGAACAAAAGGGATTTTGGGATGGAATTAATCAAGAAGGACGGATATTCGTCGAACGACTACACTATGAATTTGAACATTGGCAGATAATTACTACTTGTACACATTTTTTTATAATATTAATTGTATTGATTATTCCTAAAATGAAATTCAAATTCATTTCCTTCTTAATTTGCCAGTATTAAGAACCTGAATCACATGATAGTTCCCGAGGAAATTAGACTAACCATTTCTTCAATAACAATGAACAAAAATTTTAATCCAACGACCTAAATTAATCGAAACAAATCCCTTTTGCTACATCCTTCACAATCATCATTATTAAATTTTCTCACTCTCGGTAATGTCGTGAAAACGAAATTACCAATGTCGAAAAACCGTAGAAATTTATAATATGTTAAAACATAAGGTATTTGTTGTACAGAGTACTTTCTAGATAAACGATTCATCACATTACGCAAAAAATATATATATATATATAATGTTTTCTCATATCTAAAGTGATGAGTCAGTAACCTAATCTTCAAGTAGTCTAAAAATATTTTTGTCTGATACTGAGATTTACATAGATCCGGTAACTAATTTGTAAAGGCTTCATCATATGAACAAATCTTAGATACAACGGTGAGAAAGCTGTACATCTGGTAAAACAATTTCTATGCAATTTTTTTATATGAAAAAAACTATTCTTATATGTAAATTTCTCTTGCAGCTGTAAGAATACTGTCAGTTTTGACTTTATACAGCCATTCTCGTATTGTAATCCACATCTACTTGTTCTTAATAGAAATTAACTAGGACACCGCTGATTCAATAAGGTACATCCATCTCTACAAAGGAATCTTCATTACTTCATTTAAATCACCGATCTAGTTCATTACTGTGCCCTGCTTCTGTTTTATCCCCCAGTAATTCCTTTCAATTTATTTCTCGGGACTGAAATAACGATTATGTTTTATTCGCGTTAATTTCTATTTAGTTAACAAATACTACCTGTATTCCTGATATTCTGCTGCATCAAAAGGACCAGTATATCATCATTCATCCATTGGTAATTCAATCTTATATTAACAAAAACAGTTTCTCTTAACTAAACGTGGGATCTATGAGGTGAAATCACTCCGAAATGACCCGAAGCTTTTTAGAATGTACCGATATTAACCTCGAACTTGGTAATCAACATGAGATGATTCATAATATTTCACTTATTTCGCGTTAACCTCCGTCAGAATACGACATAAAAGTAATTGCACCGTGGCAGGAACTGTCAAAAGTTGTTCTCTATCCTTATCTTTTTCGGCACGCAAGAATTATTTTACTATAAATTTTTGGCTAAAATAAATATGTGCAATTGACATATTATTAACATATAATAAACCTTCTATTCATACTTCCCGCTTATTGTCTGAACAGTGGCCAAAATTATTCCGGTTATCAACAAATTTCACCTTTTCATATCATTTTTGGAAACAGGTAGTAATTCGTTTTCCATTCAAATCTTTCATCGCATTTTTTTGATACTAACAACGACTCAACCAATCACGAAAAAGTAACACTTTTAAGTCTTCCGTTTTTGCTGGAACATTAATTTCATTTCGATTGGTGCCGCAAAATGTGCATTATTTCATCTTTCTCTTGAATATTACACACAAAAAAATCGAAAGTTCCTCAACAACTTATGTGTTGATCACATGTGTGTTGGTCTATAATCACTTATGTGTTGATCTTTAATCACTGATATGTCATGCCAAATCAATAACGAGCTTCACCACTCACTAAACCATCACGCTTAGAACTTGACCAACAGTGCTTTGTCAATTCAATTATCAAAAAATCATAATCAAAGAAAAAAGCGCAGATGAAGTGAAAGTGAAAGAGAAACAAGTTTACCATAACTGTGACTTTGTCACACTCTTTCTTAAAAAAATCATGTACATTTAAGGAACCGTTTCCTTCCATCTCTTTATTTCTTCGTTTGCATCAAATGTGCGCCGTGATCAGGAAGACGTAGAATACGTTGAACAGTTGGACTTCATCAAAATAATTATTTGAATGAAATGTATTTGGCGATTTTTTCAAAAAGTTTGTCTGTTCATCCATCCACCCATTATTTTACCTCTTTCCGGAAAACAAATGTCCGACTTTAAGACATTAAAAACTGTTTAAACCGTCATAAATGCGAGTTGTGTCTTTTTGCAGAGTATAATTATTGCTTTCTGGGAATCAAGTGAATTTTCTGGTCTTTCATTTCCATTTCAGATACACATTGAATCAACGACTGTTATATTCTCTTATAAATAACATTGAATTGAGACACTTTTTGAAGTTACATAATCTTTAAAAATGCGACAGTTTGTCTTATATCAACTGTCAGTGGTTACAAATAAATTATAAAATGGTATTACT